GGGAACCAGGCCTACAGGGAGGGCAGTTGCTGTGGGAGACCAGGCCTGCAGGGAAGGGCAGTTAGGGCTGGACCAGACTGGTAGGGGAGGGCAGTTAGGTGTGGATAAAGCTGGCAGGGGAGTGGTTAGGGGGGCTGATCAGGCTGGCAGGCAGAAATGGTTAGGGGCAGGCAGACAGGCGAGCAGTTGGAAGCCAGCAGTCTTGGATTGTGAGAGGGTCTAAACGGGCAGTTGGACATTCCTTGAGGGGTCCCTGATTGGAGAGGGTGAAGACTGGGCTGAGGGACACACTCCCTCCGCCTCCCCCCCCCACACACACACACATGAATTTTATGCATCGGGCTTCTAGTTTTAAATAAAATTGCTACATAGGACTTATGTTTATGGTTTTCATAGTCATTCTTATAGGTTTCTGAAAGTATAGTACTCTTAAGTTTTGAGAATTTTTATCCAAGTTCTTTCTGCTTTTGTGTTTTCTTTTGCTTTAAGAGCATTGGGGCAATTGGTATTTGAGTCATTAGGCATGTCTTTGGTATAGAAGTAAAATCACATTTAACAATGCTTTTTAAAAAATCAGGGTTTATGTTTTCAATTTTAAAGAAGGCTGCTGCTGGTTTTGGTAAAATTGCTCAACAGTGTCTTTGACATTTTTGCTCTTTCTCTCATGTATTGCCACGGCTCTGGACATCATTTCTCAATTCCAGGCAGTAAGGTGGGAGGAGAAAGGGCAGCATCAGTGATGTTAATTCCTTTTATCAGGAAAGTGGATACTTTCCAGAATCCTGCCTTTGTCTGACAGATTACAGTGATGTCAACACTTACTGTAAGAGAGGCTGGAAAAACATTTTGATGGTGTCAGGTGAGGGTGTCAAGTTTGGAGATGGGTGTTTGATTTGCCATCCACTCAGTACATTTGTATGATCATCACCTCAGTCTAGATACCATCCCAGCAAGTTTCCTCCTGCTCTCTCCAGTCAAATCTTCTGCCCTGCTTACACCCTGGGAAATCATTGCTATTACTTCATGTATTTATTTTTTTCAAATTATAGTTTATGTTATATTAGTTTCAGGAGTTATTTCATTTCTTTTAAAAATAATCTTTTCTATAATCACTTAAGGTTTGATATAGTTTTGGGGGAACTTTCATTTCTGGTCACTTTATTATATATTTTAGCTCTATATTACAGACTTTAGGTTTGTACCACAGTCATTATCCAAGTGTTTTAAAATCGTGCATATCTCTGTCACGTCTCTCCCATCCCTCCATAGCTATTGAGTTATAATATGGATTTCCTTTAGATTTTAGAATGTCAAAATGACCCTAAATTTTTATCACTGATATCAGGTAATTGGGTTGTATTTAGAGACTTGTAAGATGCTGATTTTTGCGTCTTAGATGTGTATATGTAGTGATGTTTAATTCTAGTGCTCAAAAGAGAGAACAAAAAATAGAAAAACAAAACAATTATGCATAAAAATAATTGTACTGCTCAAATCTTCTTGTTTCATATGTAATTTGAATTTAACCTGTTTTGTGAGTTAATTACACAATTTATGTATGGACATAATTGTTCCATGTGCATGTATGTCTGCTATATAATGTTGTTCTTTTGTATTATTAAATCAATGATATTTTAAAAAATTCAGATAATTCAGATGAGCATTGGAATCTATTTGATTACTAGCTTAGAGTCTCAAATAAGCAAAATATTATCTTCTACAAAAAAGGATTCCATGTTTCTCACTAGCAGACCGATAGTACAAAAATAGTATAATATTGCCTGACCTGGTCAATATTATTTGCCGTGATATTCAGTAATGCAGAGCTAAATCAGAGATACAACTCAGTTTCCTAAGTAAGCATGTAGGTAGAATTCTGTCTTCCTGCCTTGATACTAATTGTTAGCACCACCTCATATCAGAAATATTCTTAAAATGAAAGAGGGAAACTCCTTTTCATTGACAGATCAGGAAGTGGTCTTGATTATAAGTGTTTTGGAAAAAGGTTTTAGATAACATGTTTTAGTTCCACTGTGATGGGACAGTGGAACTAAAACATGTTACTCAATAAGCCCTAAAATGTTTTTCTTTCTGTATTTGATTCTGGCTTGTGTTAAATGCATTTGATATTATGATATTAAATTTGCCTGTTACTGTGTTTCTTTCCTCTTACTTTGCTATTTACACTTTTCTTTGTCTGGCTATTTTCTTTTGTCTGGCTTTCCAATAAGTCAGTTTAGGTGAAAGTTTTCATAGGCAAAGTACAGAGTTAAAACAGTGGAATGACTGTTTATTCATAATTCTAGAATTCCTGGGAGTTACATTTGTCAGCTCTCAAGAGATTCTTTAATTATAATGTTAACATTTTACTTTTGAAAGAAATTGAAATGAACAGGCATGCGGTTGAATTGGGGTTTTTCCTTGTATTTTTGTATAGCAATAATCTAGCAATGTGAACTTGGTTTTACTTGAAGATCTAATATGGGAAAGTTGGCTTCATTGATTGCTAGAGGATTTTTACTTAGCCCATATTGTTGTAATGAAGCTAATATATTCCTATAAGTATAAATACATGTATATATTTTTCCTATTAAAAATCCAACTCACAGACATTTTAAATTCTATCATACTTTTACATTGTCTGGGGTCTTTTTTTCAGCACAGTTTGACAGTTGTTTGGTATGCTAGAAAATTACTATAATTATTATTATTAATTTTTCAAATATTTCTTAATACCTCCGCCTCTTTCATCTGTCCCTCTGGGTTAAATATAAATAGGTAGTTACAAAATAGTCATGGGGATGTCAAAGATAGCACAAGGAGTATTATAATAACTGTATAATTCCAGGTAGGTACTGGAAATATTGGGGGGAACACTTTTTAATATATGGTTGCCTAACTATTGTGCTGTATACCTGAAACTAATAACAAATAATATTGAAACTTCTTATAGTATATCAATAAGTGAGTGTAGAAATCTTAAGTATCTGTAACTTGTCCTCCTTTTAGGGATATGCTTAAAAATGTTTAAAACAGTATAGAATCTTATTTGGCTTTTTAAAAAAGTATAAAAGTATAGAAGTAAATGGAGGCATTTTGTTAAAATTGCCACCAATAATCTGATATCAAGATAAAACTAGTAAATTTAATTTGTTAATTTAATTATGCAAATTAGCGACTAACTTTCATAGATCAAGTCTGTGGCCAGCCTTGATCTATGGAAAGTTACAACAGCTAATCACTGCAGTTCATTGTTTGTTTGTTTTTTCATTATGGTGGTGTGCAGCATGCTACCTTTATACATCTACTTTTAATAAAACACATGTATCTTCATTGATTTCAAAGAGGAAGGAGGGAGGGAGGGAAGGGAGGGAGAGGGAAAGAGAGAGAGAGAGAGAGAGAGAGAGAAACATCAATGATGAGAGAGAATCATTGATTGTCTCCTGCATACCCCCTACTGGGGATGGAGCCTGAAACTGGGAATGTGCACTGAACTGGAATTGAAGCCACAGTGGTAGAGCAGATTTGTCTATTGTATTATGATTACCATTGTAGCCATGTTTATCACATTACATAATTATAGTACACTGTTATTGTCTGTGTTCATTATAATATGCATTAGACCCCTGACTTATTTACTACTTGTTACAAGTTTTATGCCCTTAAATGCTATCAGTCTTATCTCCTCATCACCCATCCCCTGGTTACTACCATTTTACCCTCTGTTTTTTACATGCTTGATTATTTTTTGTGTGTGCAGATTTCACATATAAGTGAAATCATAAAGTACGTACTTTATCTTTCTCTCATTTATTTTGCTTAGCATTCTTTGCTTAAGGTTCATCCATGTCATAAATGGCAAGATTTCCTCTTTCTCAAGGCTGACTAATACTCCATGGCGTATATACTGCACTGATGGGCATTTGGGTTGTCAGAGTGTTTTGAGGCCTTTTCTCCTGAGTATTCCACCTGGATCCCTACTTAGTTTTCTTTCAGCTATCCTTGTCCATACTGCAAACCTGCTTCCTTATATTTGACTTCCAGAATCATCCTTCCAAAATTGAAATCTTGACATCATTATTTCTTAAAACCCAGGCACATCCTGCTCTCTCTTTTGCTGACTCTCATGTTGTTTCTGACATACTGAACTAGTTGCCCATCATTACCATTTTATGTCTATATATTTATATCTAAAATGGAACATATGATATACCTGATATATCTCTACTGGAATATCCTCCTCTCCTTTCTTTGTAAGTATATCCTATTTCAAAGAGCAATTCCATAATCTATACCTATTTATAAAATGTTTTTTTGTGCCATTTCTAACCATCCACCTTCACCAACTCATTTTCTTGCCTCACCAGTAGATTTCATATATTTCCTTTTTTTTTGTTACCACTGTGCCTTATACATAAGATAGTTATTTTACCTTTACATATTATATTTTCACAAGTTTCTTATTTGTCTTTCCCTTTTGTTAGGCCGTGAGCCCAAGGATTATTTCTTATTTACCTCTTTGTTCTTAGTACTTATTAGCATGGTACCCAATGGATTTTTGTTGAGAGAATGATTGGGTTAATTTCCTCACCTTCATTATATGATGTGTATTTTTATTTTAACCAGTTTATGCTTTTTAGAAGGCAAACTCATTTGGAATAATAAACCTGACTCATATATCTTTTCTTTTTTCTCCCTCATATGTCTTTTCTTATAACTCTGTAGAGTGAAACTAGATATGTCCTGTTTTCTGACTTGCCACTCTATGCATCTTGGGATAGATTTTCTTACTCTAAATCTTATCAAGTCCCTGATAGGGAGTTTTGATCACTATTCACCATTAAACTCATCTGTAAACTAAAATATTTTATTTATAATTTCATCTTAGGTATATTTGGTAATGAGATGTGTATTTCTAGTCATATTTGGTGATGTGTGTGTGATGCTCTGAATTTAGGTAGCTTCAATCAGGTCTCTGTTTTCCCATATCTCATTTCTAGGTACAAGACATCTGCTTCAGCCATGACTGTCGTTGGGTTGTGGTCAGTACTCTTCGGGGGACGTCCCATGTTTTTCCAATCAACCCTTATGGTGGCCAGCCTTGTGTTCGAACACACATGTCGCCACGAGTCGTGAATCGTATGAGCCGTTTCCAGAAAAGTGCTGGGCTGGAAGAGATTGAACAAGAACTGACTTCTAAGCAAGGAGGTCGCTGTAGCCCTGTTCCAGGTCTCTCAAGCAGCCCTTCTGGATCACCTCTGCATGGTAAACTTAATTTTCTCTCTCTAACCCTTCAGTCCTTCTTTTCTTTATCCTTAATTTTCAAGGTCTGGGACAAAAATACATTCTCCTCCCTAATCTTCTCATGCAAAGACAAGGTCTGTTTAAACTCATGTTGGGACATTCCTAATTTATTAAATAATTTAATTAATTGAAGTCACTATATTAATAGTAATGGCAGTCTTTTTTTTAAAATTTATTTTATTGATTTTGTACAGAGAGGTAGGGAGAGAGAGAGTTAGAAACATCGATGAGAGAAAGTCATCGATCAGCTGCCTCTTGCACACCCCCTACTGGGGATATGCTGGCAACCAAGGTACATGCCCTTGACCGGAATCGAACCTGGGACCTTTCATCCCCAAGCCGATGCTCTATCCATTGAGCCAAACCAGTTTCGGCAGTAATGGCAGTCTTTATTACAAAACTTACCTCCCTAAGTTTTTCAGTATGTAAGGACTTCCTTGTGCTGTTTTTATGGAATATGAAGTTTGAAACTATAGTCATACATTTAGAGATTGAATCTCATGTCTGTAGATCTTTTCCAGAAAACTTAATTTTTAACCAAAGCCAACAATACTATATATAGTTTATTAATTATATTCATATTCATTGTTGGAGAAAAATGGTCATGAGTCATGTGTATTTTAGAGCATCATTTGTTTTTTATTTTAAAATACAACTCTGAGATTTCTACCAATACATTGCAGGAAAGAAAGACAACAACTCTACAGCTCGATAATTTGTCTTAGAGCAAATAATTGTGTTACTATCACCCCAACCAATAAATGAAACATTACTAGAACTCCCCTTTTGTGCTTCTTTTCCATAAAAGAAAACCATAAGTCTGACTTAATAATAATCATTTTCTAAAAATAGTTCTTTGCTAAGGAAGTATCCTTAGTTACTGTTGTTCTCTTTCATATAAGTGGAATTATAGAATAGTGTATTTTGGTATATTCAGCTTTTTTAATATCATGTTCATGGGGTTAATTCATGTTGTTATTTATAGGTTTACTTGATTACTCGATTTCCTTCTCTTTTTAAAACACCCTTTTTATTGATTTGAGAGAGAGAGAAAGAGAGAGGGAGTAATAGAAATATCGATCTGTTGCCTCCTGCACTCCTCCTACTGGGGATTAAGCACACAACCCAGACATGTGCACTAACTTACTGTTGATGTGTATGTGGAGAGTTTCTGGTATGGGGTTATTACATATAATGATGCAGTGATTATATAAATTAAGATTTATATTCCTTACATTTATACATCTCCAGAGAGTATTCTTTTGAGCTTCGTTTTCCTTCCTATTCTTCCTTCCCTACTAAGCATACCACATACCCGGTTCCAAGGTAGGTTTTGGGCATATCGTGCACAAAAAATTGTCATCTCTGCCCTATGTAGCATGTAGTCCAAGGGCAAAGATAGGGATCAAATAACTGTGAACAAATTCCTAAAATTATATTTTTGCTGAAAGGTGCAAAATGTCAATCAATTAAGGATTTATAATTTGTAAAAGAACATATAGTTGAAGAGCATACTTGGATTTCTTAGTCAAAATATACTATTTTCTCTCAACTTTATTACTCGGAGAAAGAACATTAAGCTCTCTTTGCCTAAAGCTACCAGAAGACATCGTGGAGAGGAGAGGATAGACTGTTTGACATATCGCTATACTTAGCATTCTCTTTTGAAAGCAAGGAATTTCAGAAGGCATTTTCCTCCTGATAACACCCATTTAAAATTTTATTGTGTTGCAATTTCACCCCATTATTCTGTGTGGTAGTCCTTATTTTCAAAGCACCAATGTTAGAGTGATGGTCATTTTTCTTCATGTTCTCTTTGTATTTCACATGTCAAAACAAAATGGGCATTGTTGTTGGTTAGTTCTAAAAAGGATGTATTTACAGTTTGTGTGGATAAACAGTTTGATGCTAGTCAAAAACAATGTAAACTTTGAACTGGGAGGGATTCATCTTGAAAATGAATCATGCTTGGTGCTATTACCGTTGTTTGTGCTCTTTTTAGCAAAGTAAAGGAAACTGTTAAATAACAGTTGATATAGGGATATTTCCTTTTTACTCTCTGGAGTCAGTCCAGTGTAGGCTAGGATTATTTTATCTTCTTGCCAATATTTTACATAACAGAGTTTATTTATTTGAAATATACTCTCTCTAAATATGTCCTTCATTTTCTTTCATATTGACCTTAGTCTATATGAGTGTTTCTTAACTTAAGATCCATGGTCATAGATATGAAAGAAGTGACATCATTATGTTTACTATCCTCTAACCAAAAGTGTTTCCTTTCATTGTGAATATAGACAACACAAGATAGTAATATTAGTAGTACTTGCGACATTGTCACCAATAAAAATGCAGATGTTTTGCCCTAACCGGTTTGGCTCAGCGGATAGAGCGTCAGCCTGCGGACTGAAGAATCCCAGGTTCGATTCCGGTCAAGGACATGTACCTTGGTTGCAGGGACATCCCTAGTGGGGTGTGTGCAAAAGGCATGTTTCTCTCTCATCGATGTTTCTGGCTCTCTATCCCTCTCCCTTCCTCTCTGTAAAAAAAAAAAAAAAAAAAAAAAAAAGAATTTTTAGAGAGGAAGGAAGAGGGAGAGAGAGATAGAAACATTAATGATGAGAGGGAATCATTGATCTGCTGCCTCCTGAACACTGGGCATTGAGTCTACAATCCGAGCATGTGCCCTGACTGGGAATCTAACTGTGACCTGGCTCACAGGTCTACTATGCTCACCTATGGAACCACACTGGCCAGGACTCAATCATTTTTTCTTACCACTTCTATTTCAGTTGCCCCTACCCAGCCACTTTTACTATCATAAGACATTTCCTTTGTTAATCATAAATATTATTTTCCACTTTTCTGCTAAAACCTTTCAGTATCTCAGTATCCTTGTAGAAGGTTAGAGAAACTCCCATCCTATTTCTAGCTGTTGTCCCACCACACATGGATCACTGTATCCTCCCCTGAATATGCCACATGGATTCATTTTCTTGGCACCTTTCCTATTTGTATACTTATCTCTAGCTAGAAATAATTGTTACCCTCTTGAATGCTCATTAAAACCCTACTTCAATGTGTTCTAACTAAACATATCACTTTGTCTCTTAGCCCTTAAACATCTCTGGATGTGTGTCATCTGTAGCAGCCTCCATATTGACACTCTGAACATGATTTGTTATATCACAACATGTTGGTTGTTTGGGGATGCCTGTCTATTAGATTGACTGCTGTGAAGACAGGGCCTTATTTGTATGTATGTCTTTGTATCTTGTGTAGTTTTTGGTAAAATGTAGATTGTAAGGCTTTAAGCCAAGTTTCCAAATATCTTTAGAAGTTCTTCTAATAAGACAATTTATTTTTTAGACTATTTATTTTTAAGTTTTATTGTTTTCCATCACCATTTATCCCTCCTGTACCCTCTTTCAACTCTACCCAATCCTCTAACCCCCCACAATCACCACACTATTGTCCCGGTCCATGAGTTCTTTCTCTTTTTTGCTTAATCCCTCCAAACCCACTGTCCCCCCAATGAAACAATTTCAATTTAAATCATTACTTGTCAGAATAAAGTGATTTTTATTCATGACAATATTGCTGTTCATTTTAACATCTTTAAGATACATTTATTTTTTCTACAGCCATTAATTAGTGTTTACTATGTCTAGGCACTGTTTCCGAGCTCGAAGAATATAACAGTGGACAGAAGGAACCTGCTTCTTTTCCCATGGAGCTGACTTTTTAGTGGAGTGTTATGAATAAAAAAGACAATAGAAAGATAGATAGAAAGAAAGATAGCCATAGCCGATTTGACTCAGTGGATAGAGCATCAGCCTGTGGACCAAAGGGTCCTGGGTTCGATTCCGGCCAAGGGTCCATACTTTGGTTGCAGGCTTCTCTCCAGCCCGGCCCTGGTTTGGGCACATGCAAGAGGCAACCAGTCAGTGTGTTTCTCTCACATCAGTATTTCTCTCTGTCTTTCCCTCTTTCTTCCACTCTTCCAAAAAAATAAATCAATGGAAAAATAGATTAACCAAGAAAGAGAGAAAGAGAGGGGGGGGGGAGGGAGGAAGGAAGAAAGAGAGAAAGATGATAGTTTTATGGACTAATGAGAAAAATAAATAATTGAAGGGGAATAGGGAATGCCTGGGGAGGATTGCAATTTGAGGTTAGAATTCTTTAGCAGACTGAGTTGCTAACATTTGAACAAAGAGGTGATGGAAGTATGGATGAAAGTCATGCAGATGTCTGGGGAACATGTTCTAGGCAGAAGGAATGGCTAGTGTAAAATCCTTGGTTTGGGAATGTGCCTGGAGTGTTAAAGGGTGAGGGTGAGGGTGGGGGTGAGGGTGAGGGTGAGGGTGGGGGTGAGGGTGAGGGGTCAGTGTGGCTGAAGCATAATAGAAGCACATCGTAGAAGATGAGGTCAGAGCAAATGTGTTTAGATCATGTCAACTTTTGACTTTTACTTAGAATGAGAAATGGAGAAGCTGTGGAGAGTTTGAGAACAAGAGTGACACGATAAGCTTGTGTTTTGGCAGGATCAGAAGGGAGATCTAACAAGGGTAGAAGCCCAGTGAGACCTGTTAGGAGAGTATTGCAAAAATCCAAGTAAGAGAAAAAGCCTGGACTGAGTTATAGTGGAGATTCTGAGTAGTAATTGGATTTTTGCTATATAGAGTAGGTCCTCGGGTTACATCGGAGATTCGTTCATACGGCGTGACATAATTGATTTTCACTGTAGGTTAGAACCTCCCTACATAAGCACCTATGCCACTCACATGGAGCATACACACAGCAGTAATGAAGTGAAACAGTAAAAAAAAAAATTTAAAAATTTAAGAGAAAGATAACAATTCCTGACCTTCACTTGTGATAAATAGATAATAATAATAATAATAATAATAATAATAATAAAAACAAAGCACATATGTATATACGTTGAAATGACGGGAACC